AGCTAATAGGATTGAAAAATATATATTTGTTGTACACTCTGATTCACTGTGCTCTAAATTTAAATTTTATGTTCTTTCTTTCTTATATATTTATAAATAGAGACAATGTAGAAAACAATGAACACCCTTTTCATGTCTATATTATACATATATAATGACTGACTATTATATTATTATAAATTATATCTATACTCTCCCATTTACTGCATTCTAAATTTATCCAGCTTTGAAGCCTTCTGCTACTGAGAAATCCTAAAATGTGTAAAGGGTCTTTATCTTCAGCACATAAACCTAACCTTCACATAAAACATCTGTATGTGTATGTGCATGGATTTTGGAATGTACAGAAAGTATGGACACTGTTTAGTCATTTAGTGTTAGGATGTCTTAGGAAATATATCCTGAGACAGTTTAAGTATTATTTAAACTGCACAGTGTTTACAATTGTTTGTCGTCAACAGAAGCAGAGTTCTTTTTTTCTTATATATTTAAAGAGACAATGTGGACAACAATAAACGTATTTAAAATAAATGACATTCTATATATATATATATATATATATATATATATATACATATACATATATATATATATATATATATATATATATATATATATATATATATATATATATATATATATATATATATATATACATATATATACATATACATATATATATATATATATATATTTTAACCAGTGCTTAATTTAAGTCGTGTCCTATATACATATATATATACATATATATATATATATATATATATATATATATATACACACACACATACACATATATACATATATACACACATATTTATATATATATATATATATATATATATATATATATATATATATATATATATATATTAACCAGTGCTTAATTTAAGTCGTGTCCTGTTCCGGAAAACGTCAGGTATTCGTGTTTTGCGTTCTAGTATTATTTTAATGGAACCGCCATTAACTTGTGCGTGGTGAATACTGTGTGGATTGTGTGTGCGTGCACACACATAATGGTAGTCACCATGTGTAAATGAAAGCAAAAGTCACATTTAACTATTGACCCTCAACAATATTTTCTTATGTTTACAATCACTCTCATTGGTTAGTGATTATTGTTGTTTTGCGCGCAGTGAGCAGCGAAAATAAATAATGGCAAATAATATTTGTATTTTCAAAATGGTAAAGAGGCAGTCATGCATATTTTCCCTTTTAAAACCTTCAGTAAATCTGGTAACGAGCCTGATTAAAAGAGATCTTGAGAAGATGAAACTGCACTGTTTCGGGAATTATTCATTTACAAATTAAGCACTGAAAATAACTGACTATTATAATAATATTAGTATTATCTATTATTATTATAAATTACATCTAGGGCCTGTTTCAGTAAGGAGGTTCAAACAACTCAGAGTTTAAACTTGAACTCTGAGTTGATTTACCGAGAGATTAAAAACTCAGAGTTTTCGGTTTCAGAACAGCTGATCTGAGTTGGGTCAATGAACTTCGAGTAGACCAACTCAGAGTTAAGCGCGCACACTGTGACTTTAAAAAGGCATTATCAATGGAGCGCAGACATTACGAGTGACTATGGCAATATCTTATAAAAGAGATCACCATTTCTTTCTCCGGCTGAACTTGATGTTCTCATGCAAAGTTATAGCAAATATGAGTGTATATATTTGAAAAGAAGCAACCATCAGTGAAGAAGAGACAGTTAGCGTGGGAAAACAGCTGCTCAAGTTAATGCCTAATTTCACTTTTTAAGTATTTAAATATTTAAGTATAATAAAATAAGTAATGAAATTTGTGACGTTTATATTTTTTTTCTAAACTTTCTTTTATACATTTATTAGTTTTAAATGATTTAACAGTGCACTTGTGTCTGCCTTTTTTATTGATCAAGTGATAGAGGTTAATATAAAATTTAGAAGGTAAGCAGTACTAAAAAATATTTTTAGAAAGAATAATAATCCCATTAATCTAGTTACATGCATGTCGAAGGTGAATTTAATTTAATTATTTATTAAAAAAGGATAAGCCATTCTAGTACAGTTCTTCTGTGACAAAAATGTAGGCAATAGCTATTTTCCATCCAAATATATTACATATATTTATGTGCAAAACTGGAATATTGCATAGAAGATGCGAATAAAATTCCATCCAACGAGTCAAAGAGAAAAAAATGGTCACTTCCTGATTAAACTGGCACCAAATATCAACAGTAAAAACAGAATTTACTGTGGTAGAAGAAGCTGCGTCAATTAATTCTTTATTTAGCCTAATTAATGTACTTGCGCCTCGATGTCAGAAGACAATGCTGAAACACAATGAACACGTGGGGGCGTCTGAAGCAATGAGACGCAGAGACTCTTGACACACACTAGACGTTCGGAGTTAATTAATAATATACACTAATACTGAAACAGTTAAGGCATTTTAGAATGACTAACACAATATTTAAGACATGTTACAGTGTGCTCATTTACACACATTTTCATTATCATATGATCATGATCTTTTTTTTAATGTACATACTGTAATTTGTTCAGTAAAAGTGATTCCATCGTAGTTTATGCGCACATTTTCGATCGAATAAAAGTTTATGCTACTTAGTTATGCGCGTTTTTTATACATATTTTAAAAAGTTATGTGCATCATGACGTTTCTATCAATCGTTTTTATGCACGTATCCAAAATAAGCATAAAAATAGGTGTGTGGAAACGTAAGGCTAAGGCGAGAAATACCGCTTCATCTTTAAAAAAAGGGGAGGAGACCGACAGAAACTCTGAGTTTAGAGAATAAAACCTGCTTCTGACCAGGTTAGATTCACAGAGTAAGTTACCACAGTAACTGACTCTGAGTTAAAGTTACCTCTCTTTCAGAAACAGGCTTGACTTACCCTGCTTTCTCGAGTTTAACAAACCTGCCATTTTGAAATGGAAAACCCAGAGTTTCTCTCATTTCAGGGTTAAAATACTCTGAGTTTTCAGTTAACCTCCTTTCTGAAACAGGCCCCTAAAGTTTAAACAATAAACATATTTTTTCACAGGTTTCTTTGATTATACCAAAGTGGGTAGGGCACTGATGTAGTGCTAAAGTAGAAACTAAATGTTTTTTTTTATATAATAATAATAATTTAGATTAATTATTTTGTGTGCATTACAGTTTTTGATAAAAACATGTTTAACAGAGTTTAAAATCTATTTTGCCTGATTTTGTACAGTTTTGAAAGCCTGCGTTTTTGTACAAAGTCGTCAAGGTAAAAGTAGCCAAGAACATTTTAAAATACTACATACAATAAAGCCAGTATACTCTTTGAATGTAACATTGTAAATAGTTTCTGGATAAATCTAGCAAAATAAACAGGATTCAGCATAATTGAGTACACCCCATTTTGAAAATGTATATTTTTATCTATTTCTCATTAAATATAGGCAATGTATTTTGGTGCATTTAAACAATACAGATCTATTAAACAGATATGTTTATTAAAATAATATTTTAGTCACCAAACATATTCAGAAATTGAAAGATAATACAATTAAATTCAAGCAAAATATTGTCAAATAAATTACAACCTACTCGATTTTAGCTAAAAGTTCAATTTTTTGCTTCTCTTGATTTTTGCCTCTTTTTTTTAAACTTGTATTTAGTATTTTTCTATAATATATAAATTTGGATGTACTAGTTTTTATATCGTTATTGTAAGTTATTTTGTTAGACAAGCTCCAGATTTGGCTTCTATACTAACTAATCTAATGTATATGCACAAATAAAATATTGTAGAGCTTCCTATTCTAAAATGAACTTAAGAGATAGACTTGTGAGGGGTTTACTTATATATGCTGAGCACTGTATTTTTAAAATGACAGAACTTAGTTATTATTTTACATTAATGAAAACAACTGCAACAAAAGTCTTGAATATTTTGCTGATCTCTTTATTTCATTGGCAAAATTTCACATACATACACAAACAGAAATTAGCTTAGTCATCTCCCACTTTAACAACTTTTGCTTCGATTTTATTTCTTTATTTTATTTAATGTGAAATTGTTGAAAAACAAAAAATCTGTGATATGTATCAATCATTTATCATAGTTTTTTGATTCCCCTTCTAATTTTTAAAATCATTGGATGTAAAAATGCTGTACATTATGTCTTGTGCATTTTATTTCATTTGTTTTTACCATCGTTATATTAGTTTCTTTTAGGTTCACCTTTTATATTTTGTTGTTGCACGTATGTCCCTGTTGGATGGAACCGGTTTGTACAGTCTATGGTAGCCAAGTAACCAAAAACAGTCAAAGTAAAACAGCGCCTCTCACTGGACACTTCAAATCCGCATGTCAGATTCAGCACATTGATACATTTGAAACTATCGACTGTGAAGTTTTCCTCCAAAAGATGTATAAAAATCGTATTTTCTGTAGGCTATACAACAAAGGCATAATTGGTATAAAAGAAGAATTAAAATGTCAGTACCACGTTTGTGTTTTGTGCATAAGCCTATGTGAGGCTGTGAAAGCGCCAATAAGCCAAGATCAGATTTAATAACTTTTCAGAAGTGAAATTGCGGATTATTAATAATTCATACCAAATATTATGCAGGGCGGCGGCCAAGGTAGCTTGTTTGATGAAACAGTGAATTGGGGTCACGGCAATCGCACGTCTAGGATTCAAAGTAATCTTGGCTGCATACCCTAAGGAAAAATTATAATAAAAATAAGTTATATGCAAGATATTTTGTGACCTTGAGTCAAAATCTTTTCTGCATAGTGTAATATTGGACACAGACAGCTCGTTGTGATAACATTTACACCCAGTGTTGTACTTACTATAGTGCGTAGCCTATTTTGATTTGGACACTATTCTCGATGAACCCATGTGTTGAGCTTTATCGGAAGTCTCACGTGATGTGCAACTCTGCCCTGGTCCGCCATCTTGGCTCAACCCCGTAATTGCGAGTGAATGACAGCGCTCTTCCTGTTAGATCCGTTATGATATCAGTTTCCTGCAAATGTTTAGAGTTGTTCTCTGGTTAGTTCAGGAGTCATGAACGCCGCTTCGCTGGTCCAGAGGGTTGCGGGGATTTCTGGAGCTCTTGCAGTCGCAGCAGGTGCATATGGAGCTCACGGTAAGCATCCTTTCTGATCAATTGTTTTTTTTTATATTTCGCCAATAATTTTACATGCGTTCAGATGATTCAGCTATTGACAAGTCGAACGTGACCAAGCATTACTAAAAAGTTAGAAGCTTTTTATGGGTAAATTCTTCATGTCTTTCTCTCGTGTGCAGGTTTTCGACGCAGTGAAGCGAGTGATTACCAGAGAGAGGTGATTAAGCTATTGTTGTTGTTGTTTTGTTTTAGCATTCCGCTCAACGTGTTTGCTAACGTTAAATTATTATTCTGTAAAAGTTGTTTATTGTGTGTACAAGGAGGACTTTGTTATGGAAGTCCATTTCGGTCTGGGTCACATAAGAAACAATGATTTGTACATTGTAAATGCATGACACATCATAAAGATTACACTTTTGATTGCAAATGACACTCAAAGCTGATATTTATTGTCATAATTATTACAACTATTCTGACTGTCGTAATCATGACTAGTGTTAGGGCTGGCCAATTTGGCCTAAAATCAAAATCTTGATTAAATTAATATTTTAACTTTTAAATGAACGATTATTTTAATTATTTATTTAATTATTTTGCCCTCACAGTTCACTGACAAGTTTTGTACAGTAAATATGCTCACAAATTACAAGTGAGAGATTTTTGAATGGAAATAATTGAAGGAAACGCACACTATCTACTATCTATAATTATTTATTGAACATCAACATTAAACAACTGATATTAAAGTACACATTGCTTAAGTAACTTGCACTTTTGGAAAAAAATTTTAATTATTTTCAGTGTGTATCATATTAAAAGTTGAAAATAAGCAGTATCTCTTCTAAATAAAATAACTCTTGTATATCCTGTAAACAAATATTTTAATGTAAATAATAATAATTTTATTGTAATGGAAAATATGCCGTCTCAAGGCATCTTTGGTGCAGCTTCCAGTCACCGTCAATGTAGTGCAAAGTAAGGCTAAAGAATGGGTCCATCATTCTACTTGACCAGAGATCAGATGTGGTCAAAGTGGCACCAGAGGCAAAGTGGTCACAGAAGTATAAATCAGCCTAAACCTTTACAGAGCAGGGTCATGTGACTCCACATGCGGTAGGGAAAGTAATTGAAAAAATTGTCCTGGAAAAACTAAATCGATTATATGTTCTGAATGACGATTTCGGTTACTTTTGGATTAATCGCCCAGCCCTCATTCGTATCAGAGGTTTAACTTTTTGTTAGTAGGTATGATTTAGTTTCTCATAATTCAAACCTTTTATGTCATAAATGTGATTTCCAACACAAAGCATGTTGTGTAAATAGGCTTTTATAGTTTTGCTTTTATAGTTGTTTGTCATTATGTAACCCACAATATTGATATCAGTATTATGAAACTGCATTATTTATAGTTACTTTTTAATAATTGTTTAAGTGCAACAGTAATATAATTCGAGTTCTGTTGTTTTTGTTTCTTCAGTTGTTTGATACAGCAAACAAGTACCACTTCTACCACAGCCTGGCGTTGTTAGGAGCTGCTCGTTGTAGAAAACCTGCTCTGGTAAACACATCTCTCATCATTTTTTTAATTTAACAAACACTTCTAGACTAAAACTGTGTCTCAGCACAAGACTAAAACAGGTATGATATCATTAACATATAGTATAATTGTTAGTACACCGTATGAAAGCATCCCAGATTTATCTGAATTAATCTTGTATATAATTATCCCCTGTGTATTTTATATTTGCTGAATGTATGGTGCTCTGAAATATTTGATATTGATCAGTTTCAATATTCAATCTGGAATAAACGTTGTATAATGAATCCAAATTATATAATTGAGAGATGTCCTAGGCAATCGATTTCCAATTAGCTTTGTTTTATGTATCTTGTTGCTGGCATTATTAAATAATTGATAACTTAAATCATTATGTCCTTTCCGTTTATTCATTTGTTTGCCAAGTACCCTTTTAAAATGCTGGATAATGCACAATCATCCCTTGTTATTCTGTAATAATGAACAAAGAATAACCATCTCACCCCCCAATCATTACAGGCCTTTCTTTGTGAGCCAAAAATTAATAATTAGTTTAATTAAATTGCATGGCCATTTTTAATTGGACATAAAGTGTCTGCTTGTTTTTTTATTGTTTTTTTTTGGAAGTATTTTCCCCATTGTGATTAAAAATAAACTTCTTTGTTGAGTCTGTGACTCTCTAATTGGTGAAATTTCCTGTAGAGCATCACGGGTAATGTTAACAAGTCAAATTAATAGAAACGCAATGTTTCAGCAGAAGCATATACACTTAAGTAATAATCTCAGCGTTTTCGACAGGTCTGTCTATAAAGGTTTATATAAGTTATTGCTAAAAATATATAATCTGTTTTCCTATGGAGAAGTTGAGATTTTACATCTGGTTCCTATCTGAGTTCTTTAATGCTTTTTAGCCCTATAATTATGTAGTTACAGCATCTACCAACAGGAGCAAACTGGACTATGTTATCCTACCACTGTCAGTGATGTCATCAAATGTCACTGTTTTGTGTTAGGGCTGCAACATTAATCGAAGACAATTCTTGTGCACGTTTGTCAGTAGCCCCTTTCATACAGTGATACCGGTAAATATCCGGAAAATTTCCGGAACGACTTTACCGGTAAACTCAAAAAAAGCGCTGTTCACACAGGCGAGGACGTTATGGAATTTTTCCGGAAAAGAGCATTCACACATCCATCGCAAAATGGCAGTAAATTCTGACATCATTAACCAGAAATGACCTCTAAACGGCTGCGCTTGTGTTTGTAAACATTTGACTACATAATAAACTCTTTGGATGAATTAGTATTGAGTACAACTCCAATGAAAACATATAGAGGAACACTTTCACATGTCGAGATGTTCATGATATGTGTGTGTGCTGGCGCTATGGGCGCTCACGGGCACACGCAAAGCTTGAAGGTAAACAAACAACGCATTATCATAAACATTTTATCGATAATTATTTACACAGTTAGCATTAAGAAGGAACATTTTAATTTTCAACTTTTTATAACAAAATAGCTTTAAAAATTTACTTCTTACAGTTTTATTTTCTTTATAACAGTACATAAGGGCTTCCGGTTTGGTCGGCGTTATCTGACTAACATCTAGCAGCTAAATGTGTCTCATTCTCATAAACCTCGCGCACGTGAATGCGTCTAACTGTTCTGATTGGCTAAAGTAGGTGTCTCAAGTCAGCACGTTCTAGACGTGGACGCGCTCTTTCCGGCAATCTTCCTTCTGCATTCACACAGCGCAGCATTCCGGCAAATTACCGGTAATGTTACAACTTCTCTTTCCGGAAAATAGCCAAAATGAATTTACCGGTATTTTCAAAAAGGGCCTGTTCACACATACACACCTTTCTGGAAAATTGCCGGTAATTTTCCGGAAAGGTCTGTATGTGTGAAAGGGGCTAGTAAAGTCGGTTCTGTAATCAATATTAAATCTCCAGATAATCTTTCAGCTTTAAGATAGAGCTGCATTTACTACATAGAGCCGTAGTTCACTAACCAACTATGCAATATCACATTCATAATTGCATAAAATTAAATTGCACGATACGAAAATCGAAGATAATTATGACTGCAATAATAAAGCTTCTCAGTGAACTACAGCTCTGTGTTGCTGCTACATCTGTTGTGGTTATTCAGTACCATCTATTGACCTTATTCTGCAATGCGGAAACAGTGTTGCCAGATATAGCTGACTCAGCCCAAAAGTTGACCAAAACCTGCTCAAAAAATGCCCAAAATATTAAATCAATATTGTATTTAATTTTAATTTATTTAAATTTAAATTAACCTAGTTACTTTAACTCTCATAACTTTTAACCATACAGCAACGAGAGGTCACAGAACCACACATAACCATATCACATGCAAACACTGCCCCCTCTCACCCACACACTGCACTTAATGTTCTGTACATTACACTACCTATTATATTCAAAATGGGGTATAAATTAATCCCACTTGGTGTTTTAATTTTTTTGATCATAATTAGATGTTACTCATCAATCGGACAACGCTATTATGTTTAGGTTATGTTGTGTTAAATAAGTTGCATATAAAATTTACGTTTCAAAACGTCAAAAATGTTGTCAACCCGCCAATGGCATTTTTACCTGCACAGTCAAATTCAAAACTAACCAATTGAAGTGCCCAATCTGGCAACACTGCGGAAGTGCACTTGTTTTTGGGATTATTTTAGAACTTACGATTCAGTTGCCTATGGGAGAAACAACTTGCTATAAATAAAAAGTAAAATACCAAAATAAGAAAAAATCCATTTGCAACATCAAGAAGCATAACAGGCTGTTCTTAATGTCTAAAAATCAATAGAAGTGAATGAGTTAGGAGTCAACAGGCTGTGCACGAAATTACCCATTCCTCGAGTAGGTACTACATTTGAATTAGATTACTACATAACCATTGTAGTAACATAACCAAAAGTATGTTCTAAATGCTAAGAATGTGAGTAGTATGAATGCAGTTCATTCTATTCATGGAATTTGTCATTATTACATGACCTGTCCATGTCCGTTGCATCGTATTTTAAACTGTGTCAAAAATAAAGTCTGTGAATCTAATATTTTAAAATATTTTTGAAATGTTCATAAACGTATAATGAGCAAAATGTAAAAGTTTTTTCCAGTATGGTAAATGTGCAGATATTTTATTGTAGTTCTAAATTATTTAAAAAAAGGTCACTTCACTTCAAACATCACTTCATTTTTTTCATTGTGTTGTACCCACGTAAATGTCTGCTTCCAAGACGAAACAAACGTTTTCTTTTATACTCATAATTTGATGTTGCTACCATGTTGCCATCTCTTCGCTTTACTGGTTGTTATCAGGTTACAGAAAAAAATAACGTTCACAACATCTAATCTGTTCTGAAGACCCGAAAACACCTTTGGGTTAACGACATCACAGAGAAGGTAGTGAAGATGTATTTGCATGCAGTTGACAAATAGTCGCATTAATTAACGAAATTAAATAAAAAATGAAAAACGATTTAAAAAAATGAAACTTTAGTGACAAGGCAGCACTGGACCAATTGGGCCAGTAACTATCCTGTCTACTGTCCCGAACATCTCTCTTGCTGGCGCCGGGCCATTGGGCAGTTGAGCCCTGTGTACTGTATAATGCAATTTCAGATGCAGCCCCAGTTATTTCCTGTTATTTTTATTTTTTATTTATTTATATATTTTTGTTGTTGTTGTGTATTTGGAGTTGCCACAAGAGTACTCTCTGGCTTTTGGAGATTCACTACTGATCACACAACTTCTTCCCTGACAAGATGTGCACGATGCAGCTTTTGTTGAATCACGATTGTGAATTCATTTCAGTTTATTGTGCATTATTATGTGTATGGGATGACTAAACTTTATTGATGTCAAATGACACCAGACAGTACTTTTAATTTGTGGCTATGTTTGTGTATGTTGGAACTATCTTGCTAAAAACATACTAGATATTTATAATTTTGAAATTCATGCTCTAAACCTGTTATTTTGATCACTGTGTAGGAGTCCATCTATTAGCCCAATGACGAAACTAACAGCATGGTCGAAGGTTTAATGCATGTAAGCCTTTTCTAGTGCTTATGAAAAGAATTTTATTATTTATTAGAATTTATTTATATAAATTTTTTAGCTCCGAATTAAATCTGACTCCAATTTAAATGATCCTAAAATTTAGATTATATTTCTAATTGTAAGAACGGATCACATTCATCATTTATGATTTAATTTAGAGTTTTGATATTTTCTGAGGTTCGATATTCTAATTGTACGTTCATTAGGGACCTACGTCGCTCAGAGTTCCACGCCCCGGGTTTGCGTTTCTTCTCACGGACAATATGTCGGCACTCTGAAAATAGTCAGAGGATGCAGGATTAACTATATTTGAATAAGCTGGTCGCATTAACGCTTACCTAGTCTTAAAAAAACAGATCCTTAGCCAAGCCCATACAACTTGCTATTCCCAGTGGTCGAATGATTAAAAGGTCTACATGTTATCGGCACGCAATGGCTACGAATAATCAAATGCGCCAATTAAATCAATTTCGATTATGCCGTACGATAAGGGTAACGAGACTCCACATAATCTACTGGATACAATGAATTCGCAAAACTCCAGAATTAATCAAAACTTTAAATTTTATTTGTCAGGTAAAATTGTATTCTGCCAATTACATAATAAATCATCAGGAAGCCAATTCAGAGATGAGACTGTAACAATACAACATCCATTAATCAAAGATAAATCAAAGAGTTAAGAGATGCATACCTGACCACAGAAATACATTGCAGCATAAGTCTCAGAGATGCTGCAATGGGGTGTCTTTTTACAAGATCTCCCCCTGTCCTAAAGCACATCTTACCTTATATACTTAAGTCAAAACAAACAGCCATAAATTCAAGACAATAGAAGTGTCACAGAAACCCTGACCTGGTCAATTTGAGGACTTAACCATCTCTTAGGAGGGAGAGCATCTTATCAAGATCTTATAG